CACCACCCTCCCAATTAATAAATACATGTCAAAGCAAATACATGAAAGCTGACTCAGTATAATGTCGCATAACTTGGAATCAGATGAACAAGAACACAAAGCAAACTGTACATATTGCTGTCTAGCAGCAAGTTCTCATTTTATGTCAAGGGGGAGCATATAGTTTGGGAATTTTATGTTAACACCGCTCCTGGATATAGGAGTTTTTGGCATGTTTAGTCAAGGACACACACAGAGGCTTAGTTTAGATCAATAGAGTTAAATTATTAAAGCCTAGAACCAATGACTGTTAGAGTAAATGAGTTGGTATGCTTTAGTATATGCCTATTGGAGGAATAAAGACAACATGTATTACTTGGATATATCTCTAAGAAGAAAGGTTTTACAAGAGTACGGTAAGAGTAAGTTCACAGTATTGTCAAAATCTGAGCGTTTTTACCCTCTGACATTTAAGTGAAACTGTACTTTGTAATTTATGTTCAGGACAGTTAAAACCAGATACAAAAGGTTCAGTTTAACATATGGTAGGTAATATATGATTTACCTATGACCCTCATTTTCAAACATGGGTCATTATGGTCATTGAGTGACTGGGTCCTGTGCCAGAACTAGAAATGCCAGCTATATCTTTCGCCTGCTGTAGTTTGAGGGTATCTAAATCCTCATCTTTTATTTCGTCCTAAACTTAGTATTTACTTGCCCTTACATCTCCATTTTCCCCCTGACTAATTTGTACCAGTAGGATTAAGTTGCTAGGGGAAAAACAAATGTTAAAGCTATTTCATTAATTGAAGGGATAAGGTTTAATGGCTGTAGCTTAGTTGTTTGCCTAATATGAATGAAAACCAGGTTCTATATCTCCAGCATACATCCCCCTGATCCCAGCATTTAGTAAAAGTTCAGAAGTTCAAGGTCATCCTTTGCTACACAGCTCAAGGCCACTGTAGGAAATATGAAGCCTGTCTCAAAAACAAAAGAAAGATTGAATATTGGTAAAGTCCATTGGTTGGTGTCTATTGTGCGGATATAATTAGTTCACAACAGGGTCATCTCTTCTGAGCAGGTAGCTACAAGAGAGTGGCATTAAGGTTTCATCCTAACTACCTTTCTGTCGAGCGCTATCGCCTTGCCTGCAAGAACGACGCTCAACAACAGGATTCTTCTGCAGCTATGTTTATTTCGCGGCTCATTACAGCAAGTTGAGGGAAGACCCCGAGGAGGAAAAAGGGCTCTGCTTATATATGCTCAGAGGAGTCGTGTCCGTTACTGACAGGTGCAGCCCACAACGCTCGTAACCGTCACCCCATGACGTGGATCGCGCATCCGCGCTTTGCTGGCTTATGGACAGGAAACCGGCGCCATCTTTGGGAATGGCACCCGTGGCTCTCTACACCTTTCCTTTTTTTTTTTTTTTTTAAACTTCAAGACAGGGTTTCTCTGTGTAGCTTTAGAGTCTGTTCTGGAACTCAAGCTGTAGTTCAGGCTGACCTCGAACTCACAGAGATCTGCCTGCCTCTGCCTCCTGAGTGATGGGACCTTCTAGCTCTCTCCCAGGCTTAGTTTTAATTTTCGCTGGAAATAAAAGCACTGACAGGCAGAAAAACCACAGTTGCTATATACAGGTAACCTCAGAACGGCAAAGTGATAGCAGTATTTGGGAGCTGGAGAGCTGGCTCACCAGTTAAGAGTGCAGGCTGCTGCTTTTCCAGAGGTCCTGAGTTCAATTCTCAGCACCACTTGGTGGGTCACAACTAGTTTCATGGGATTCTATGCCCTTTTCTGGTGTGCAGACAACATCCATATTCATAAATTACACAAATCTTAAACAGACAAAATAATCCACTTAACTACTTGAATACTACCATCAAAGATACCTCAGTTACGACTCCCGGGGCTGGAGGGATGCCTCAGCAATAGTTGCTGAGCTTGAGGACATGGATTTTGTGAGCACAGACAAGGCAACTGTCTGTAACTCCAGCTCCAGGACATCCAACACACTCTTCTGACTACAAGGATGTATGTGGCACACAGGCACATATATATATGAACTTGAAAAAGGGTCTCACTATGTGGTCTTGGCTGGCCTAGAACTCAATGCATTTCCACGCCTGGCTAAAGACAAAATGTCACAAAAAACTATGAAACTTGATCCTGTCGCTTCTTCTTTTTTGGTTCTTGTTTTTTTTGTTTTTTGTGGGTTTCTCGCCCAATAGTGGTCTATTGTGGCTGGCCTCGAGCTCAGAGATCCGCCTGCTTCTACCTTCGGCATGCTGGGATTAAAGGTTTGCACCAACACCGCCCGGCCTATTGCTTTCTTTTAAGCACCTTGCGAATATTTGTAATACAGACTCAAAGTAGTTATTTTGCTAACCCCGTGGAAGCGGGAGGCTAAACATCCAGCTGATTACCTCAGCAACCAACAACACCGGTGCTACCCAGCAGCCCGCCTCGTGCTACCCAGCAGGCCCTGCGGTCTCCACGCATGCGCTCTGCCGGCGCGGCCACGCCACGCGAATCCTGCGTGCCCCGCTTGGTGGAAAGGCCGGCACCTTTAGCTTTCCTTGTTGCAGGTATTTTGTCTGTCATTTTCGCTGTGAAAATTAAGTGAGAACTGTGTGGGTCTTGTTCTGAAAAACTTGGCTGTCACCTTGAATGACTTTCCGCCTGCCTTGTGGCGATGTGGAGTTGGCTGCTCCTTCACGGTCCTGCTGTCCAGCTAGGACGGGGCGCATTACTCTGCGGGGAGGTAAAGTAAAATTGGCCTCTGGCTGTCAGGTGAATTGTGCCTGCAAACTCAAAGGACGGCTGTGTAATTGTTGGTTTGAAGACCGTCTCGTTGTAGCCCATAGTAGCCTCAGAGTCACCGAGTGCAAGGAGGACTGATGTAGCGACCATCTCTCAGGTGGTAGGGCGTACAGGTGTGACACGTGAGATGAAGGTGTCCGTGTATCCATTGGCCCCTGTTACTAGAGTAACATTATAGGTTTTTTCTTGTGTTTTTTTGAGATAGGGTTGCTGGCCTCGAACTCACAGAGATCCACCTACCTCTGCCTCCCAAGGGCTGGGATCAAAGGCGTGTGCCACCACTGCCTGGCTCACCCTCCCTCCCTCCCTCCCTTCCTTCCTTTAAATCTATATTTTCATTTATTTTACATACCAACCAGTTTCCCCCTCTCTTCCCTTTCCCTCTAGCTCCCCCCCTCACCCAACTCTTCCTTTGATCCGAAAGGGTAAGGCTCCCTATGGGCATCAACAAAGCCTGGTGTATCAAGTAGGGTAGGACCAAGCTCCTTCTCCAGCATCAAGGCTGGGTGAGGCATCCCAGCATGGGGAATTTGTTTTGTTTTTTTTGAGGCAGGATTATGTTGTGTAGCCCAGGCTGGCCTCAAACAAGGAATGATCTACCTCAGCCTCTTCCTGAGTGCTGGGATTACAAGTGTGACCCATCACACAGCTAAGGAAACATTTTTTTTTTTTTTTTATTTTACATATCGATCCCAGTTCCCTCTCCCTCCCTCTCTCCATCTCTCCCTCCATCCCCCCTCCCACTCCACAGGGAGGGTGATGCCTTCCAGGAGAGATCAACAAAATCTGTCAAGTCATTTGGAGTAGGGACTAGGCCCTCCCTCTAGGTTAAGGGAGTATCACTCCATGGGGAATGTGCTCCCAAAGAAGGAAATATTTTTAAGTTGTATGTTGAATGTATTCACTTTCCTTTGGTGTATAATTGATACACCACTATTATTCAATAGATGACTGATAATGCTATTGCTTTCTATAGTGGCCACTACTTAAAATTAACTTAGTCTAGAGAGTTAGTTGTAAAAGTGTTAAACTATGCCCATATTAGTAGATGTGTTATTTAACTGATAATAAAACTTAAACATCTCAGCACTCAGGAGGCAGAGGCAGGTGGAGTTCAAGGCCAGCCTGATCTACAGAGCAAGTTTTAGGACAAGCTCCAAAGCAATATAGAGTAACTCTATCTCAAAAAACCAACCAACCAAACAAAACAAAAACAAAAACCAAATAAGCACTTTAATGTAGATTTTCAGGCTTCATCATAGATGAATTAGCATAGTTAATAATTCATGTCTAATTTTATCAAGCAGTTAGTCTTTTAAAATCAAGGCAGTTCAGTTAAGGAATATGAGAAATCAAGATGTATAAAAACCCTGAGTTTCACTTAAAATTTGTACTACAGTTATGTGCAGCCTCATCACATTTGCCATGTATGATATATACTAGCCCAGACTGTCCTGGAACTCACTAGATAGATCAGGCTGACCTTGAACTTACAACGATCTGCCTGCTTCTGCCTCTCTGATTCTGTATTAAGGTTTTCACCACCACCACTATGTGTGGCCTTAATAGACTGCTTTTCGTTTTGGTGTTGGAAAACAGACAGACTTAATTTTTATTTCCTTGTGATGTATTCTTGACATTGGTAAGAGTTGGGAGTACTTGTGTGTATAACTTAATTTACAACTTTTGTATAATGAAAGACCACAGTATTGAGGCTGAAATCAATATAATTTTAATAAATACAAAAATATCCTTTTGTCAAAATAAAAATATGTTATGAGTAAGGTTTTCCCCTGCCAGACTGGACCCACTTCTGCACCAGCCCAAAATAACACACAGAAACACTATATTAGATATAATTTTGTTGGCCAGTTACTAGTTTCTTATTGGCTAGCTCTGTCTTAAATATTAACCTATTTCTATTAATCTACTTCCACATGGTCTTATCTTACCGGAGAGAGGGGCTGGCATTCTCCCCATCCTTCATCTTGGATCTCCTCCCTACTACTCCTCTTTCCTCCTAGTCTCCTAGCCCCGCCTATCTTGCTTTCTAATTGGCCAACAGTGCTTTATTCATTAACCAATAAGAAAAACATATTTACAGAATGACATCTCCCATCAAAAATACATTTAAAAAATTCCACATTGATTATAATTTGGCTTACTTATCTTTTCGTTTATTCCCTGTTAGGTTTCTTCTGGAGACTACCATCATGTCTTTGTATGAAGACATGTTGCTTTGCAATTATCGAAAGTGTCGCCTCAAGCTCTCTGGCTATGCTTGGGTTACTGCCTGCTCTCACATTTTCTGTGATCAGCACGGTAGTGGTGAGTTCAGTCGTTCACCAGCTATCTGCCCTGCCTGCAACAGCACCCTTTCTGGAAAGCTAGATATTGTCCGTACAGAACTCAGTCCATCAGAGGAATATAAAGCTATGGTATTGGCGGGGCTCCGGCCAGAGGTTGTATTGGACATCAGCTCTCGGGCATTGGCCTTCTGGACATACCAGGTTAGTGCTTAGGGGCTGGGGAGATGTCCCAGTAGGCAAAGTGCTTGTGTAAGGGTGAAGGCCTGAGGTCAGCACCCGTAGGAGAGCTGGGCTCTCATGTGAGAGGAAGACAACCCAAATACACTTGCACAGATGTATAATCTGGGGCCTATGTGGGACCTTTTTATGTCTTGGTATAGGGTGCTGCTGAACCCAAGGCCTTGTGCTTTACTATTGTGTCAAATCCCCAACTTTATGAAGGATTTCCTTCAAAAGTCTCTTCACTGTTATATTTCTTATGAATATATGACTGTACTGAAAAAACATTCTTGAAATAGTCTCCCCTAATTTTTATTACAAGTATTTATCATGTGATAAGTATTTATTTTGGTTTTATATTTTGTGGGTAAACTGTCTGTACTTTTGTTTTGTTTATACTGTGTGGCAATTACCTAAACATTTGTTCATGAACCCTAGCTCAAGAATTTTTTTTTGTATTCCTAACATTGAAACTTAGGGTCTTTCATGTGTTAGCTAAGCACTTCTTTAGCTCTGACCATATTTTTGTAGGAATCTGCCAAACTGTTTTCCAAAGTGACTGTATTACTTTGTGTTTCTGCCAAAAATTACAGATTGCAATTTTGGCCGTTTTAAATGAGATAGAGTGGAATCTAAATTTTCCTGAGGCATAACAGAACCTATGCTCATGTTTTACCCACTTTTACATTTAGTTATTGTGTGAGCATGCTCTCAACCCACAGGTCAGATAATAACTTGTGGGAATTGGGTCTCTCCATCATGTGCAATCTTGGGGTTGAACTGAGGCTATTGTTATTTGTTTTTGGGACAGGGTCTCATGTAATCCTAACTGGTCTAGAATTATCTATGTAGGCTAGGCTAGTTTCAAGCACACAGAACCTGCCTTCTGAGTGTTGGGTTAAAGACATAACGCCACCATGCCCTGACTTTGCCCATTTTTAAACTGGTTTTGTTATTGCTGTGTAAACTTTCTTATTTTGGATAGCAGCCCTTTTGGATCTTTTTCAAGTATGTTCTCCCAGTTTTATTTGCCTTTTTCTTTCAACAGTTCCTTTCACAAAGTAGAGATTTTATTTTATTAACATCGGTGCCTTTTTGATGTGGGGCTGGGAAAACAGCTCACTGGCTAAGAGCACTTGTGGCTTTTGAGGAGAACTAGGTTTGATTTCTGCCACACACATGGTGGCTCACAGCTGCCTCACAGCCATGTGTAACTCTAGTTTCAGGGGATCTGAAGTCAGGCAACATAAAAATAATGTAAATGTTGTTGCCAACTTCAGTTCCTAGATTTCCTTTGTGTTATCTATAACCTATGAGTTGATTTGCAGTTTGTATTCAGGTCTGATCCATTTGAGTTAATCCTATGGGGCTTCAGTATTTTGCAGTTTTTTTCCCATTTTAGGTTTTTCCATCATAACTGCTTTTTTCAGTCAGCAAGAAATGGCATCCATCTCCAAGGGAGATAGACTTTGTAGTCTTCTGCACCAGACAAATGACATCTGCTTTGTTTGCTATGTTCTAGGATAGGTTCTGCCCAACACACAAGTAAATTCTAGGAAGCAAGGATATTGGGGGGGGTGGTCTTATTTTTCTAACTTTGGATCATTTGGAAAATTGGACTTCTTATATGTGCATGTGTCAAGTAAACATTTATTAAAAAAAACCAAGAATTTATTGGTGTCACTTATGGCAGAAAAAAGTTCCTACACCATATGTGCATGACCCAATTGTTAAACAGAACATTTCCAAGGTGAACATACACCCTGACCCAGCTTTCCCCCAACTTTTAAAATAGCCAATTCCTCCTTTCCCCGCCCCCAAGACATGAGAGCAACTGCTATTGAAAAGCAATAAACAGCCACTTGGGCACTTGGGCTGTTGCATTTTCAACTCCACTCTGAGGAGAAGACTCCAATTACATTCGAGGCTTAAGTAAACACATATTTAGTTTTTTCTTGGTTTTGAATTTACCATAGCTGTGGTGGCTTACCTTGAGTGCCCAATCCTCCTGCCCACATTCCCTATGTCTGTGACTATTACATGCATAAACCTTCACACACAACTTTCATTATATTTCTTAAAAACTTTCAGGATATATATTACTTGCAGATAAGGCATACTTGTTTGGTGATAACGGTTCTCTGAGCATCCCATTTTCTGTAATCACCACATCATGTGTTGTGATTATGGTTTTTTTGTTGGTTTGTTTTTAGGTTTTTTTTTTTTTTTTTTTTTTTTTTTTGAGACTTTGTCTGTGTACTCTATCTAGCCTTACTGCCTGGAACTCACTCTGTAGACCAGGCTGGCCTTGAACTCACAGAGATCGCCTGCTTCTGCCTCCCGAGTGCTGGGATTAAAGATATACACCACCACTGCCTGGCATGATTATGTTTTAACCCTGGCTTAAATATTGTGACAACGAGATCTCTGTATAAGTGTCCTTTCCAGTTGAGCATGGGTGAGCTTTTACAGTCTGTAACACTGTGCTGCTTCTTGTTTGTTTGGACAGGTACACCAGGAACGTCTCTATCAAGAATATAATTTCAGCAAGGCCAAGAGCCATCTGAAACAGATGGAAAAGATATACACACAGCAAATACAGAGCAAGGATGTGGAACTAACCTCCATGAAAGGAGAGGTCATCTCTATGAAGAAAGTTCTAGAAGAATATAAGAAAAAGTTTAGTGATATCTCTGAAAAACTTATGGAGCGCAATCGCCAGTATCAAAAGCTCCAAGGCCTTTATGATAGTCTTAGGCTACGAAATATCACTATTGCTAGCCAAGAAGGTTCCCTGGAACAAACTACCATCACACAGTCTGGTGTCTTTGGCTTTCCGTTAGGTAAGGAATCTTATACCCAATGCCTCATTTTTAAATTACGATTTTTTTCACACTGTGCTGCATAGTTCTACACACTCAGAAGGCTCCAAGAATGACAAGCCATGGTAAACTGTGAGTTCCTTATCTTATTCTGTACACTGTTTCTCTCGGTCTCTCTCGGTTGTATTTGCATATGTTTATTCTTTTTTTTTTTTTTTTTTTTTTTTGAGACAGACTGTCCTCAAACTCACAGATCTACCTGCCTCTGGAATTTCCATGGTGTGACACCTTGCCTGGTTTAAATTATTTTAAATTTGAGTAGACTTGATCTTGTCAAAACAGATGTTCAAGTTGTACTCTGCTAGCTATTTAGTAGTAGTAATTAATATGAGCTATACTTTTTTCACTAGTGAGTGTTAAGCACTGCTGTTTCATGTTTTCATGTGATTTACATTGCATAATCCATCCTTAACCAGGCTCTCCTGCATTTGCCAACAAGGCCATGTTTTAGTTTCTTTCACATGCCAAGATGTATTTTTATTTCATTATATTTATTTACTTGTTTTGTGTGTGTGTGTGTGTGTGTGTGTGTGTGTGTGTGTGTGTGTGTGTGTGTATCTGTTGGGGCATTATAAATGTGCCACAATACACATGGATAGGTCAGAGGACAACTCAGATTAATATCCTTGCACGATGTAGGACCTGGGGATTGACAGGGTAGGTAGCAAGCATACTTACTCACTGAGCCACCTTGCTGGCCCAGATTGCACAGTTTTGTTTTTTCCCCTTTGATCATTAAATTGTTTATTCAGTCATCACATAATTACCAAATATATTTTATATGCCTGGCTCTTGGGCATGGTTCTAAGTAGTGAGGATGTAATTATTGTCCAAGTAGGTAATTCAAAATCCTAGGCCGACTCGGAATCATTTTGATAGATGGGTGACTCATTCCTAGTTCTTCCCTTGATGACACCAGTACAACAGAAACCAGTAGGTTCCCCCCCCCCCAGTATTAATATTAGTTGTAAAAATAGGCACACAAACATTGAAGTCTCTTGTGGTAGACTTTTCCAAGTACTCAAAAATTGGCATTTATTATAGGCTAAGGAGAAAGGTCCAGTGAGAGAAAGTGGTTTTCTAGAATGGGAATGAGGTGATACGAACACACAAACAAAATGTTACATAGCTGGGTCTAGTGGTGCAAGCCTTTAGTCCAGCCCATGAGAGGCAGAGGCAAATGGAACTCTGAGTTCTAGGACAGCCAAAGCTACATAGTGACACCCTGTCTGGAAAAGAGATAAATAAATAAGGAAGGTTCCTGCCTGGCATGGTGGTGTGTGCCTTTAATCCAGTACTCAGGAGGCTGAGACAGGTGGATTGCTGTGAGTCTGAGACCAATTAGTCTACAAACTAGTTTTAGTACTGGAGTGAGATCAGTCTAAAAAATGAAGTTTTCTGCTTGCTTCATATTTATAAATGACAATTTAGTGTAGCAAGTCTTTCTCTGTACCACCAGTTCTCAAATAATGACATGGATACTTATTATTAATTATGAAAACTTGGCCAGAGCCGGACGTTGGTAGCACACGCCTTTAATTCCAGCACTCTGGAGGCAGAGGCAGGTGGGTCTCTGTGAGTTCCAGTCCAGCCTAGTCTACAGAGGTAGTGCCAGGACGGGCTCCAAAGCAATGCAGAGAAACCCTGTCTCAAAAAACCAAACCAAACCAAACCAAAACAAAACTTGGCCAGTACCTTAGACTTGTCCCACTAGCTCTTATAACTTAAATTAACCCAGTTATATTAATCTATGTTTTGCCTCATGGGTTTTTACCTCTCTTCCATCTTGTGCTTCCTGTTTCTTCTGGTGTCTCCTTTGTGCCTAGATTCATCTCCTCATTTCTCTCTGCCTGCAAATCCTTCCCAATCACTTCCTGCCTAGCTTTTGGCCATTCAGCTTTTTATTAAGTCAATCAGAAGGCGCCTTGGCAAAGACACTTCTTCAAGTCTGCAAAAAGATTATTCCACAATAATTTAGCCATTCCAAATGGCTGTTGTACATATTTTTCTTGTTCTTGAACTTGTTTTTACTCTTTATGTACATTTTAAAAAAGATTTCCTTTTTTATGTGTATGTGTTGCTTGTGTGTATGTTATGTATGTGTACCACTTGTGTAGTGGAGGCCATAAGAAGGCGTTGGATCCCACAGGACTGGATGGTTGTGACCCATGAAGTGAATGCTGGAAACCGAACCCTGGTCTGCTACAAGAACAGCAACTGCTCTTAACTACTGAGTTTCTTTAGCTTTTGACCTCTGTTGTTTCTAGGCAGATGCACTCAGCTTTTTCCTCTTGAATGAAGTCTATTTAAAGCCAAGGAAGGGTCTGGTAGAAATAGATATTTATTCAATTTGTTTGATTTTTCACAGAAGGCATAGTATGTTCTGAGGTAGGGGAGGAGTTGAGTGACATAGTCTTTGGTCTTGGATTAGGTCTGTATCTTATCATAGGAGATGAACTTAAGTTAATTATTCACCTCATAGTTGGATTTTGTTAAAATATTTATTCAGTGGCTATTAACTTGTTCCTAAAGGTCTATTAGGAGATATTCTTACATTCTTCCCTGATTTTCTCCCCCAGGGAACAGCTCAAAGTTTCCTTTGGACCATACACCGGTTGGTAGTCGAGGAGGTGGAGATGAAGATGTTCAGTTCAGACCATTTTTTGTGGATTCCCCCACAGCACCTGAACCCGTTAACAACTTCTTTAGTTTTGCTTCTCAAAGCCATGAAGCAGAGCAGCAAGTCTGCAGCAGGGCCTTTAAAGCAAAAAGAGTTTAGCTCGTTTCACATTTCTAGCCTGTCTCTGTTTTTGTACAGTTTTACCCCAGATGAAATAATTGGCATTCCTGAGTTCTCTTCACATTTTCACCTTAGAAGAAGCTGGCTTGCAGTAGGGTGTGTGGCTTCCTGTTTGGTTTCTCCAGTTTTTGCTTAGGGTATAGGCATTTGGTGAGTTTCAATCTCTACATTCATCACTACTCACACAGTCACAACATTGTTGCATAATCCCTGTTTCAGGCCAAGCTGTGTTTATACTTCTGTAAGCACCAGTGTATATTTACATGGTGCTTTCAAATATACTAAGTGTGTGCATTGATTTTCTCTTCTTGCCAGTATATTTATGTAAAAATTATGGTTTTGGAAAGTGGTGGCCAAAAATGATGGTGGCTTGGTATCTGCATGTATTGTACACAGTCATGTATTTTTATTTGTATTAGCTTGTTTTGGAGCTGTGTTTGTACAAGTGAATGAAAGTGCAATTTGATATATGTGTTCAGTTTCTATTTACAAAGAATTTACATCGATAAAAGTTATTTGCTGATTTAATTGGTATTTGTTTTAAAATAAAACTTCTTCTTTACCTTTTTAACAATTGCTGATATGTTCATTTTGTAATTCATTTCTTTTTTGTGAGATTTAATTTTATTTTTAATTATGTGTGTCTCTGGTTGGGCATGTGCACAAGAATTCAAAGACTTGGGTCTTTGCTGTTCTAATCACCTAATTTTAAATGCTGAGCAAAGATCATCTTTGTTGAATTGCACAGCTAATGTGGTAATAAAAAGCAATGAGGAGTGGGCTGTGGTGTTGCATACCTTTAATCCCAGCACTTAGGAGGCAGAGATGGGGATCTTTGAGTTCTAAGTCAGCCTGGTCTATAAAGCAAGTTATGGGACAGCCAGGAATACATACAGAACTGCTTCCTTGAAAGCACAAAAACAAAAAGGAGTCAGGAGCTTTTGTCTTAATTTTTTATGTGAATCTGCTAAGAAAGAAAATTGTTTTTCTTGCCCTCCTAAGAAGTGAAGTCAGCTGAGCTTGAAGCTACACTGGAAGTCCAAAGTATATTAAGATCGTTACAGTGTTTTCTTAGCTCAGTTAATTCTGAACAGGTTGAACATAAAGTGTAAGTAGAGTGGCTCTAAAAGCATGCTGTGAACTTGATTACACATTGGGTGAAAGTTTGATTTGGGAAGGCGAACTAAAACAGCATTTCTCTGAATCCATTCCCATGCCAGTGCTACTGACCTTACTTAAGAGCTATAGTAATTAACTTAATTTAAAACAATTTTCCTGGGATGAATTATAGAATTATCCTAAATGCCAAATCAGATTACTGTTGAGGTAATAGGAGTCACGTTGAAGTTGCATAAAGAATTTTCATGTTTAGTCACCATAGAAAGAGTAAATACTATTGCTTTACACAACTGAGTTTACTGCCTTTGGTTCTTTTTAAACAGTTTCATGGTAGCTTCCACCTCCCAAATGCTGAGATTGCAGGCTTCATTAAAAGTATAGCTAGTGAAATACATTTTTCCTATGAGGTTGTTAATTTTGTTGGAAAAGGGTATGAGGAAATAGGTATGTTGAGCAGATTGAAATATAAGCAGGGTATAAGTGAAACAAAAAATATAAAATGTCAGGATTATTATATTTTCTCTAAAAAATATTAAGGAGTTTAATTTGTATGATAGGCTTTTTATTTTTATTCATTTTATGATTTATTTCTTCTTTTGTGTGCATTGGTGTTCTATGTGCATGTATGTCTATGTGACAACGTCAGCTACCTTAGAACTGGAGTTACAGACAGTTGTGAGGGGCCATTTAAATGCTGGGAATTGAACCAGGGCCTCCAGAAGAACAGTCAGTGCTCTTAATCATGGAACCAATTCTCTGGCCCCATAGTGGGCTTTTTTTTGGGGGGGGGGGATTCTGATTTTTTTTTTTAAGGTATGAAAAACACAGTGAAATTATCTCTTTGTTTCTGCTGCTCAGTCACTTTGGAAGCAATTACTGTTGGAAGTGTCTAGTATCTCCTTACAGAGATAGTCTTTTAGCAAATGATCTATATTTTTTAAAATTGTAGCTGGATATGGTGATGCATGTCTGTAATCCCAGAAGGCAGAGACAGGAGGATTTCTGAGCTTGAGGCTACCCTTGTTTACATATAGAGTCCAGATCAGCTGAGTCTACACGGGGAGATCCCATCTTAAAAATTAAACGTCAGGTGTAGTAATGTCTATAGTCTCAGCACTCTGGAAGTGGAGGCAGGAAGATCAGGAATTCAAAGTCATTTTTTTTTGCTACATAGCAAGTTCCAGGCCAGCTTGAGATACATGAGACCCTGCCTCAAAACAAGCAGAAGACTTAAAATGTTTATTTTTAAATAAACAATTCATGTTCAAGGTTGAAAAAAAATGGAAAATACAGTGAAAAGTTTTCTCTGGTCAATCTCTCCTGTTTCTCCAGACTTTCTTATGTTTCCTTTTAGAAATAACGAATATGAGAACATTATTAATGTACAGCATAGTGGCATGCCAGTCCAAACATAGTAGACTTATTAGGATAATGCATTAAAAAATGCTAAAAATTATACGTGTAGAAATTTTCAAAGTTGGAAAATATTCAGACAAGTTAACCTTTTAGTACTTTCTGTTCTGAATACCACACAACACATATACGTTGATAACTGCTCTTGCTTTTTAAGAGTGATATAAGCAAGGACAAGAATATACGAAATAAAATTTTGAATGTAATTAATACAAGAACATTTTGATTCTGGAATTTGGGAAGGAAGTTTATGAAACTGAGAGTGATCACAAACTCAGTCTGTGCTTTTTATCCCCGCTGGGAGGCTGAAGCAAAAGGATCAGGCTCTGCAAGGCAGCCTGGACAGCATAACCACAGTGATGTCAGACTGATCTAAAAACAAAGCAAAACAAAACCCCAAAGCGGTTGGATTAAGTTGGTTTTTAGCCATCTCCCAGGGGCAGGTGGACCTCCAGAGCCCTAGGTGTCGCTGTGGTTTCTTCGTGAGACTGGCTGAGTATCTGTGGTCACAAAGTTGGGGGAGGAGAAGCCGACAGTGGCTGGAATGATGGCTGATGAAGAGGAAGAAGCGAAGCACGTCTTGCAGAAATTGCAGGTGAGTGAGGCTGTGAGTTAAATTCTTTGCCTGGTTGCTGTGGAAGGAGGAAGTGCAGCGACCGGTCAGGGCCGGCACGGCGGAGGACGGGTCTTCAGCCTGTGCTGCGGACTGCTTGTTGAGAGCCTGGAGGAAGTCCGCCCACTCGGGATCCCTCGGTAACCAGCAGCTTGTACATGGAGTGGCAGATCGCCTCGACTGTTAACGGGGTTGTTTTGATCTCCACAGCAGCCATTTCTTTAACATCTTTTCTGCTTTGAACTTGGCAACAGTCAGTGACGGACTGCAGAGCAGATGGCCCGATTGATAGTTTTAGGATTTACTCTTTTAAGCTCTTAACCCCACCCTATCCCCAGGTGACTGCTGTAGAAAGGTAGAGGAGTTTCCTTCAAGTTTGTGTCTTTACTTTTGTGTTAATGACCAAAATTTTCCTTAAACCCTAGAAACTCAGTTTGTGGTTTTAGGCACCCTGGAATTTAAACCGGAACAATGCTTATATACTTCTAACCATTTGCTTGTTTCTTTTTTTGAGACAAGCTGGTCTTTTTTGTAGCTCAGGTTCTTCAGGAACTGGTTTTGTAGTTCAGGCTGGCCTCGAACTCACACAGATCCAAATTGCCCCTGCCTCCCAAGTGGTGGGTGTGAGCCACCATGCCCAGTTATTTCTAACAATTTTTAAAGCATTGATCAGGTTTTCTTGTTCTTTGGGTGTGTTAAAACAACACTCACAATATGGACATTAACTTTATTCCTTAGTGTGATTGGCAGAAATGAGGTTTTTTTCTTCTTTCTGAGAACAGTTTCTCTGGGTATCCTGGCTGTCCTGGATCTCGCTCTGTGGACCAGGCTGGCCTCCATCTCAGAGAGATCCACCTACTTTTGCCTCCTGAGTGCTGGTATTAAAGGTGTGTGCCACCACTGCCAGGGTAGAAATCAGATTCTTGGTCCTATCCTCAGAGAGACTTTGTACATTTGTACACACTATGTACATTTGCTTGTACAGAAAAAAAAAAACACGCTATACCAAATGTTTGTCTAGTGGTTATGAATCACTTCCTATTTTCATGATTTCCCTCCTCTCATTTAACAACTTATTTGTATTGCTTTTGCCACCACAGAAAACCGTTCAGTCCCTAAAAAAACAAATCAACTAAAAAAACAGACAATAAGACCTCATTCTGAATTTACAACCATGCTCATTGCATGACAAGAAATTGATTGTGACTTTTGCTTAGAACTCTGTTAAACATATTTTTTTTTTCAAAACTTGTCTTTCATATGTGCTCAAATCAGTCTCTGCAGAACCTGTTTTTCCTGGGATATATATATATATATATATATATATATATATATATATATATATATGTTTAAAAGCACTACTGAAGAAGGTGTCAGTTAGTTCTCTTTATTCAAGGTAGGGCTTTGAGTTACGTATAGCAGATACGGATTTGTTAATACCACAGTACATTAGTTAATTTAATCACTATACTTAATGAGGGCCTGTCATGATCCAGCTCCTGTTCTAATACTAACACTAATCAACATGAGATTCTTTCCCTAATGGAATTCACAGTGGTGATGCTGGGTAGTAATGGATGAATAGGCTATATAATTGAAGATGATGGGCACTTTGAAGGAAACACAGTGACTCACTGCAGAGGAGGGAAGGGAGACCTCTCTTCGGTTTAGGTAGTGTGCTGGTTAATTTTTTGTTAGCTTGACACGAACTGTATTATCTGGGAAGAGGGAGCCTCAATTGAGGAATTGCCTCATTTGGCCTGTAGGCAAGTCTGTGGGGCATGTTTGGGTTAATGATTGATATGGGAGGGCCCAGCCCACTTTGGGCAGTGCCACCTTCAGGCA